CACGCAGGCAAAGAACAACCCACTGCAGTCATAATCCTCGTAAATATTATTCAACTAAATACTTTCAGTTTTTCATTTTAGTTTTTTTTTTTTTTTTGGAACGTTGCCATAAAATGTAAAAGAAAACTAAAACTAACTTGTCAAACACATCCGATTTGCCTCAAAATGCACAAAGATACGCACATTAAAAACTCGCTTTTGTTCAAAATCACACAAGTCAAACCAGTCAGCCGTTCTTTGATAATTTACAATATTGATGCTTTTTTTTTATTGGAAACTAAACCGTTTCTCACAAATATAATTCTGCTTAGAACATGTTTTTTTGTGGGTGATTGCAGGATTGAGGTCAATTTGTTTTCCGTGGTTTCAGACATGATGGTTGCAGTGCACACGTTTGTGGTTTGATCATTGCATAGGAGATTGTGAACCTCATGTCTTATCTGTTTGAGGCACAGTTATGTCAGCAAGGGGACATAATGACAGAAAACCTGAGTACGTCTGTGCCAAAGGACTGCGCTGACCTCTCGCTAGTTTTAGCAGTTGTACACGCGCTGGCAAGGGCGCTTTAGGTGACCGTAGCGTTTTTCTCCCGAGGAGAACCGTGTCTTAGCCAGGTTCTGCCTGTGGAGGGCGCTGCGGCTCAGCTTCTTCCTCTCTGCCTGGCTCCTGGCCCTCTGAGCGGACAGTAGGTGGACGTTGCATGGCAGAGGGATCCCCCAGGCTGCGAGGTGCCAGGAAATGTGCCGCCTCACCGCCACCGGCCTGGACAGACACAAAGGAAACGTTACCGTGTGAGCTGATGAAGTAGTGCAGGAGGAAGGGGTTTCAAAGAGAAAATTCTGAGGTCTGATACAGTAAAAGTGTATGAGAGTGACTGCATTCTACACTGTTTTTTTTTTTTTTAGGGTTTGATAGAAAACCTTAAATCATGGTGCAGAGAGAGAGACAAACTGACTGGAAACAAGACAACAGTGCCTACTTTTTGTTGTGTAAGAAGTGGTAAAATGTAGAAATAAGATAAGTTGGCAAAGAGGGCCACATGAGCGTTATGGTGGTCCTCAAACGGCCAGTTGTAATTAACTTTGATGTTTCATGTTTAATACTAAACATGAAACGTGTTCTTTGTCTCGTTGCTGTGGCTGCACACTAACAAACTGAGCTTATTACTGAGCTCTATGTGGTATTTCCTGCATAGGAACAGTGTTTCAACACTTCCTTTTATAAAAGACAGAAATGTACTATGTGTACGACTGACTAAATGGGAAATAAATACTCAGAAATACTATTAAAAGTAAAAATAAGAGGAAAAAAACCCACTCAATGTTGAGTTGCGGTGAGTAGCTGCCATCTTGAATTCTGAACTCTCCCACTTTCCGACGGGGAATTTCCATAATCAACATGCATTATGGGAGACGTAGTTTATGATCACTGCAGACTTTAAACCAGCTTGTTTTGAGACAATAAACCTGTGCTATCTAACTAAATTGCTCAGGGGGCCACAGTTACTTAAAGCCCAACAGCTCAGGGGGCAGACAAGTTTTTTATTTCACCTCTTAAATTTGTTTATTTTGTTGCATTTAATCACAAATTTAAAGTTTACCATTGATATAAAAACAATTTTCATTTGAAGTAAGGATTTTTATTTTTTTTTGGGTGGGGGGCTTTGACGGACCTTGAGTTTGACATGGGTTTAAGATAAAAGTTAGTAACATGAATCACACCACTGTACGTTCCATGGGAAAATCTTGTTTAAAAATCCTGACAAATCCGACTTTGTGTCTTGTTTAAATGATGTTTACGGTGACGTTTGCCTGAGCTATAAAGTTGCAATGTCTCAATTCCATTGTTGTGTATGTGGAAGTCTTTTGCACAGTTTTGTGTGTTTTCCTCTACACTGCTAACAAAGGTCATCCTGGCACACTGTTCCTTATTGAGCCTGCAGGAGGAATGGTGAATAACCCCTAATTTACACTAGATGCGGTTCCGCTGCACAGTTCGCAGATGTTCGTTTGCACCCTAATTTATACAACATCCGCTCGGCTCCAGTCCGGTGCGAAACACAGGAGGTCAGAGAAGCGTGTGCAGGAAATGCGAGATTGCACGATAAATCCAGTGATAAATGTGGAAGTCAGAGCAAAAATAATTAATGCTGTGGCAGACGGACTCTAAACACAGTTGAAACTGCATCTGTCATCTTTTTGAAACTTCTGATTTCAAAATAAAATCCCTGTGAATCATGTGTATGCATATTCTGCATTCTGCGTGTTGCTTTTTGCTTCTCAAACAGAACGATATATTTTGACAGCATTTGTGTAGAAATGAATATATTTATTAATATAGCAGGGATTTCGACAAAATTAGTCTGTCTTTGGTGAGTTATTTTGAAAATACGGATKTTGTGCTTGTTCTTTTTCCTGTGCGTAGCCAGTGTAAATACTCTCACTGATTATAATGGTTACAACATTTGATGTGTTTAATCAAACTCTAGTTCATTTCCCTAGAAAGTCCAGGTTTATTTGGGGAAGTGTGAATGCGTAATCGAACTCTGATGCAGACCAAAAAAGCGAACTCTGCTCCGCCTACAAACGTAGGCCTCGGCTCGGTTGACATGAACTCTGGTGCGGTTCGAAGACCGCTCCAAAAGCAGGAAACGGACTACAGCACAGGCCATTGTGAGTAATAACAGAAATAAAATGTCTGTATAAGGTGGACATCACTGCTCGCCTCTGCACAGGGGAGAGGGTGCACAGGTGGGTTTGCTTCGTTTGACTCAGTGCAGTGTAAAGCGAAYTGCACCAGCTGAAAATGGAAACAAATGCTGCAATTTTGGTCCCCAATCGAACTCGAAGGTGATAACACAACCTTGTGATGGAAATGGAAAATCAACATATTTAGTGTAACTGTTGTCTCCTTTTTTAGCAATTAACAGATTATTTTGTGTTACGTTATGAGAATAAGGGAACTTTTATTTTGAAAATCTATAAGCCAGTGACAGCCTAATTAGAGATGCACGCCAGCTGTTTTAGAATAATTAGATGTCTAAAAACGAATGTGTTTTTACGCAAAACTGTTAAACAACCTGGAGGTTTCCTCTTCGTCGTCATCGGAATCGAGCTCCTCTTCCTCAGCTTCAGGCAACGTGCACCTCATCTGGTAGACAGACATACTGGGGTGCTCGATCAGCAGGTTCTCAAGAGGGTCCACGTCAGGGGCAGACAGGGGTCCGTCCTCTGTTTTCAGTATAAACAGATACATATGCACCCCAGTATTGCAAAAAATAAAAATAATAAAAGAGACGACAAATTAAACTGACTCACCAGGGAGGTCAACGATGACCCATCCCTCCTCCTCAAACTCAGTCACATCTTGRGCCTCATCTGCTGCTTCGTCCTCGCCGGTGCTTCCAAGCAGATGAGAAAGAATCTTCCCGATCATTCTCACGTCTCTTTTGCGAGCTGCAATTTAAACACAGAGGAAGTGAACTGCGGGACCAGAAACTGTTCCCCCCGTCTCCCACGAGTCTGATCACAATGCAGGCACTGCCCTCTTCAGTTTGTCCAGCTTCACCACACCACCGGCTGCTACTATTACACCTGCTCAGCAGCCTGGGCTCTGACGTCACCGTGATGTGGGGAACAGAGTGGTTTTAGAAGCTAAACAGCTGATGGGACAGTGCATCAGGCGCATGGAATTACACGGATTAAAAATAGAGCTGCGGTGAAAAATAAACTATACCGCTTTTATTTTTATAACGATTTATGCATCAGAACAAAATGAATATTCACCTGGTCGTCACCAGGTGTTGAAAAGTGGTGTTTAAAGGCAAAGAAGGACAATAACACTTGGCATTTGGCTGGGTTTTTTTTTAAATAAAATCTAAGCCTGAATGTAGAAATTGTGCAGAAAAACAACAACTAAAATTTTAAAAATCTGTTGATTGAGCAGCTTGTAGAAACACTTCTGGCAGCATTAAGTTGAAGTGATTGTGTTGCTGTTGAGTTTGTCCTGATCTTTGGCCCAGTTTGGTCCTTTAGCAGTCACACAGATCGTTCTATGATTTACAGGTGAGTTTAGGTGAGTTATGGTTAAAGTGTTTGTGCCGATTTCATATATGTTTCATTAAACATCCTCATCTGCTTAAACGACATTTATCTAAATGCTTCAGGGTTTGGTTTGAAAACCTAAGTCGTGCTGAYGTGTTCTTTTTAAGAGAGGAGGCTTTTCCTGACTGTCCTTTCAAACAAGTCGTACTTGTTCAGTTCTYTTTCTAATTGTACCGTCATGAACTTTAACCTTTAACCTGCAAACCAAAGCCTGCAGCTCCTGACACAGAAAAATGATTGATTTATTTTTAATTATCTGTATGAACATTGCACTGACTGACCTCAGTGTGAACTTGCTGGAACACTGACTACAAGTGAAAAACCAGTTGAATATTTTTAACTTGTGAATCCARTTTTTGTTGTTTGGTTAAATTATTGACTTCAAATGGTTTGGAAGTGGGTTTTAATTTATCCCAGATTCATGGCCGGTCGCCTCTCGAAGATTATAGCTGACGTTCTTCCTCCTTAGAGTTGTGGTGAGGAACATCTGAATGCTGCAGACTGAGCRACAAAAATGATAAATGCTCTGCTTTTATAAGAAGAGCTCAGAYGAGCAGCAGCACCTGGACTCTACTGACTCTTGAATCCTGTTGAAGCAGTGACAGTGCACTTTATTTTGTGTGCAAAACGTACACATTATGGCTTAAAATTTAATAAATAGCACACTTACATAAATCTGAAGACCTCAGACCCATGTATCATCCCCCAMTGGAAAGCGGTAGTAATGTTTTTKCTTGTGTATTTATGTGTGAGTAGTAACAAGTACTACACATGATACAGTATATTCAACATTGTCGGCCTGTTAGCAAAATGTTTCATGAATGACTGGATGGGTTTTAAGAAACTTCAAGAAAWTTTTAATTAGACATACATCTTTTTAAGTCATCCTAATTTAAGATGGCCACCACAGCTAATCAACACCAGCCGACACAACAATGGCTTTAACTCAGTATTACAGATACGGAGCTAATATTTGGTCTGAAGGTAGCTGAGAGTCATCTCAAACACGTAGTCCGAGTGCAAACAGGTTGCACGACATTTTGCAACATTGGCTGAGGTTGCGCTTCAAGGTCTTTTCAAAAATCGTTCGCTCCTTTTGAGGGATTTTAGTCTAAATMTGTGGCATGAAAAACAGATTCCAATTTCTTCAAGGAATGCCAAGCCTTTATTTATTTATTTTTTTAATATGCATCTCCTGTTCCATGAAAGTGTTCTGTCTTTAAATCATGACTGGACATTATATAACCTGCCGTACTGACCTAAATTTAGTCTGAGGGTGGGGTGGTACTGTTTGGAACTTGGCTGACCCAACAGCCTTGTCAGTCCTGGTTTTCTGTTCCTACAGTTGTAATGCAGTTGTATCATTCAAGATCTTGAGTGTAAATTGAGGGGAAACTATCATAATTTGCAAAAACTATACTGACTTATTTTTTTAATTATTTATTTATTTTTATCCATACTGTTGTACCTTAGAGAGTACTGTGGGAACATTGTGTACTAAATGTAACACAATCTTGGAGCTTTATTACACTTGTTGGTACACATTCGACAGCCTGTTTATCCTGACAACAACAGATGCATAAATGGTGACAACCTTCTGGATGCCTTCCTGCATGGTCTGCAGCTTTCCCATAAACACACACACACACACACACACGCACAAACACACAAACACACACAGAGAGACAACAGCCGGGTTCATAATTAACTCCTTTAAGTTTGTCTTCACTCAGCATCTACAGTCCAAAACCAGCTGATAAAGATAGATGTGAGAACATTTATAACTAAGGTCATTACAGCTTTTAAGCAGGCAGAGGCTGCCCGGCTATTCTCTTTGTCACAGTTTGTATTCTTAAAGAACAAAAGACAGATGAGCTGAGAGACGGACAACAGCTCAAAAACAGACGGGTTTACCTTTTCCACTCACCTCCTCAAACAGAAAAATGTCGTTGTGCGACGAAGGATGTCTCGTCTTCTTCTTGTTGTAGTTCAGAGATTGTTTTGATCAAAAACTTGTTTATCAGAAACAGAGGGGACGTCTCTGCGGCCTGCAGCGTCACCGCGTCTCACCCAATGAGAGAGCGACGCCGACACGTCACATGTCAGCGAGTCCACTTTGAAAAGGGAAACTTTTTATTCTTTCGACATGTCGATTAAAAATAAGTCTTTGTTCCTTAGCGAAAATGTCCACAAAGTTACAAGCGAGCACTCAAACGCACTCGTCCGACAGCAGAAGACAGAATGACGTGCATTAATGCTAGCTTGATTATGGTGCGTTCAAATTATATGTGGTAGTCGGAAATTTTAGTTCCGACGAGAAAAGTTACAGAACCTCGCTATTAATATGGATTGTGATAGATAATTTTTACGTGTAACAGTTTGAATCTGTGTCACGCAGTCACATACACACAGTGCTGTCCATCCATATTTGTTAGTTTCATTGATTGCATTGCTAATAGTCTGATTCTGGCAAATCTTACTAGCTTTCTGACCTGCAAATGTATCACTTTGTTAAACTTGACTACTTTCCCGAGGATCAATGAACACAGCGTCATCTGACACCAAGACAGGGGACACACACACACACACACACACACACACACACACACACACACACACACACACACACACACACACACACACA